TAATTATAGTAAAGTTAGAGTTATGGATAATTATGGTTATTTGACGATGCCTCGTGCGGAAGAGACGCTTGCAAGCTATCTCTCCCCCGAGTCAGCGTCATCACTGAAAGCCCCGACGTTACCCACCAGACCATTAAAAAATACATCAATGCTGGTGGGTAAAGCGTATTCGGCAGCAGGTCAGGCTGCAGCATGTTTACATACGATGTCGATTTTACAAGCTTATCAGGCTTACCTGCTGAGGGACATGGATGATTGTGAGGAAGTTAGTGCTGATACTGTTCGTGAATTACGTCGCACAACCGATCTATCTCTCCGGGCCACCAAGGAGACGGCTAAATCAGTGGGCCGTTCTATGGCAGCCCTGGTGGCCACGGAGCGTCATTTATGGTTGAATCTTTCTGAAATCAAGGATAAAGATAGATCTGTTCTTCTGGACGCACCGCTTTCTCCTACAAGTCTGTTCGGCGATGCTATAAATTGTGTTGTCGATAGGTTTCAAGAAAATAAAAAACAAGCGGCTGCGTTACAGAGGTTTCTTCCTCGCCGGTCCAGTGTCCCCGAGGCTGCACGTAATATAAAAATAGAGCAGCCTCGTCCGTCTACGAGCTCTGCACACAGATTCCAGCAGAAACAGAGCGTCGCTGCTCGGGCTCCTCCACAATCTGGGGTTCCCGAGTGGCGTTCGCAGTCCAGGCCTGGTGGGGGTAGACAGGATCTGAGGACTGTCATCTCCAAGAGAGCCTGGACTAAGAAGAAGTCCTGACGCCGAGTGTGCCAGGCTTCTGAGGGTGGTCCCCTCCAAGGAGGAACGATTCCGAGGAACCGTTTCTCTTTGGCGCCCTCCGGGGGGCGATTCTCCGAGGAGAGTCGCAGCTTTGCCACATCGGTTGTTCCCTGCCGGTTCGCCGTTTCAGGGCACCGAGGTGTCAGCGTCCCCGTACAATCCTCTGAGGAGGGTTGTAGAACGGTCAGTTCGGTTGTTCCCTGCCGGTTCGCCGCTTCAGGGCGCCGAAATGATTGTTCAATCAAATCCAGAGGCCAGTCTCGAGGGACTGGTTCCCTTATCAGAATTTCTGGCAGCGTGGAAACTTCTGCCAAATATTTCTTTATGGGTCCTGCACATAATAGAAAAGGGTTACAGAATTCAGTTCGGTTCTCGTCCGCCCAGATTTCAAGGGGTCCTTCCCACAGTGGTGGACCCACAGCAGGCTCTGGTTATGGAGCAGGAAGTTCTGACACTTCTTCAAAAAGGAGCGATAGAGAGGGTGCCTCCTCCCAACAGAGAGTCAGGGTTTTACAGCCGTTACTTCATTGTTCCGAAAAAGGATGGAGGGTTGCGTCCTATTCTAGATCTGCGCCAGTTAAACAGCAGAGTTCAGAAACTCAAGTTCAGGATGCTCACACTCAAGCAAATTGTTTCACAGATTCAGTCCGAGGACTGGTTTGTCACAATAGACCTGAAAGACGCTTATTTCCATGTATCTATCCATCCTCATCACAGGAAGTTCCTGAGGTTCGCTTTCGGGGGCGAAGCTTACCAGTATCGGGTTCTGCCGTTTGGCCTAGGTTTATCACCCCGCACCTTTACAAAATGCGTGGATGCAGCTCTGGCTCCCTTGAGACTCCAGGGCATTCGCGTATTAAATTATATCGACGATTGGTTGATTTTAGCTCAGTCAGAGCAGTTGGCGGTTCGGCATCGAGATGTCGTTCTGTCTCACATAAAGGAGTTGGGGTTGCGGCTCAACACCAAGAAGAGTGTTCTCCTCCCTACTCAGAGGACCACTTTTTTAGGTGTAATTTGGGATTCGACCACAATGCAGGCACGTCTATCTCCTGCTCGGATCACTGCGATTCTCACAGCCGTAAAAAATGTAAAACTAGGCCAGTCACTCACTGTGAAACAGTTTCAGAGACTGTTGGGGCTCATGGCAGCAGCGTCCAACGTGATTACTTTTGGCCTGCTGTACATGAGACCCCTGCAGTGGTGGCTCAGAACCAAGGGGTTTTCTCCGAGGGGAAATCCGTTCCGCAAGATCAAGGTCACGCGGCTATGCCTTCGTGCTTTGGTCATGTGGAAGAAACCTTGGTTCCTCGCCCAGGGCCCAGTGCTGGGAGCTTCTTGTCGACACGTCACGCTTTCGACGGATGCTTCCCTCACAGGATGGGGGGCGGTCATGAGTGGCCGCTCGGCGCAAGGTCTTTGGCAGGACCATCATCTGTCATGGCACATAAATTGTTTGGAGATGATGGCGGTATTTCGAGCTCTCAAATATTTCCTGCCAGACCTGAGAGGCCATCATGTGTTGGTTCATACGGACAACACGTCAGTGGTTTCATATATCAACCATCAGGGGGGTCTGAGGTCACGTCACCTTTGCAAGCAGGCCCATCAGATCCTCCTATGGGCCCAGGGGAAGTTGCTATCTCTCAGAGCAGTTTACATTCCGGGGCGTCAGAATGTGGGAGCAGATATACTGTCAAGGCAGGGGCTGAGGCCCGGGGAGTGGAGACTTCACCCCGAGGTGGTGGAGCTCCTGTGGGAGAAATTTGGTCGTGCTCAGATAGACCTTTTCGCATCCTCAGATACAACCCATTGTCCCATGTGGTTCTCTCTCACGCACCCAGCTCCTCTCGGACTGGATGCGATGGTGCAGGTGTGGCCGAGGCTGCACCTGTATGCATTTCCCCCGATATCATTGCTCCCGGGGGTTCTGGAGAGGGTTCGCCGGGAAGGGGCCCGTCTGCTACTAATAGCCCCTTACTGGCCGACTCGAGTTTGGTTCTCGGACTTGGTGTCTCTTCTGAACGGCTCTCCCATGGAGATTCCAATCAGGAGGGACCTGCTGTCCCAGGTAGAGGGCACGATTTTTCACCCTCGGCCGGAGTTGTGGAAACTGTGGGCCTGGCCTCTGAGGGGGCCAGGCTCATAGAATCCGGTCTCTCGACTGAGGTCGTTGAGACCATTCTCCATTCCAGAGCCCCTTCCACGAGAAGACTGTATGCGCTGAAATGGAAATTATTCTCCACCTGGTGTGGTGAGCGTCAGTTAGATCCTGTTAACTGCCCTGTTGGTTCAGTTCTCGATTTTCTGCAAGACCGTTTCTCTGCTGGATTATCTCCTTCCACCTTAAAAGTGTATGTGGCGGCTATATCGGCCTATCATACCCCTCTGGGGGGTACTTCTATTGGGAGAGATCCTCTGATTATTCGTTTTCTCCGTGGTACATTGAGGTTGAGACCTGCACTGCACTCTAGAGCACCGGCTTGGGATTTAGCCATTGTACTTGAGGGTCTGGCTCTGGCTCCCTTCGAGCCTATTGAAGAGGTTTCAGAAAAATTCCTCACTTTGAAAGCTTTGTTTCTCCTTGCTATTTCTTCTATCAAGAGAATTGGAGATCTGCATGCCCTGTCGGTTGCTCCTTCATGCCTGGAATTTGCACCTGGTATGGTGAAAGCATTTCTATACCCTAGACCGGGCTATATACCTAAGGTCCCAGTGAATGTTGGGGGTCCAATAGTGTTGCAGGCCTTTTATCCTCCACCTTTTAATACCCCAGATCAGGAACAATTGAACCTGTTATGTCCAGTTCGGGCATTAGATGCCTACGTTCACAGAGCTGCCCTGTGGCGTAAGTCAGAGCAATTATTTGTATGTTTTGGGTCACCCAGAAGAGGGTGCCCTGCATCGAAGCAGGTTATGAGCAAATGGATAGTCGAGGCTATTTCATTGGCTTATGAAGCGGCCGGTCAGCCTTCACCTATGGCTGTACGGGCCCATTCTACTAGGAGTATGGCGGCCTCTACGGCCTTAGTTTCGGGTGTTTCCCTTCTTGATATTTGTAATGCGGCAGGCTGGTCCTCTCCGCATACATTTGTCAGGTTTTATGACCTTGACCTCTCCACTCCTGGGGCGAGGTTGCTTGCTTCTTAGTGTGCGCCAAGGACTTCACACAGAACGGGCATTTGTCACTATGGCGTAGTGGGTATGGGGTTCCCACCGCGTCTCAAACGCAGCTCGAAGTTCCCTTGAAAGGGAACGTCTCAGGTTACGTATGTAACCCTGGTTCCCTGAGAGGGAACGAGACGCTGCGTTTGCCTGCCATACTTCCTGCATACCCTGATCGACTTACTTCAGACTTTTCAGAAGCTGTCGCTGACTGTTTTCAAGGGTGCTTTATAGTTTCCTGGTCTATGACGTCACCTATGACGTATCGGGCTTCCATTGGACTGATTTTACACGTGCTTCATGACGCAATCACGCAGAGCGTTCCCACCGCGTCTCAAACGCAGCGTCTCGTTCCCTCTCAGGGAACCAGGGTTACATACGTAACCTGAGACGTTTACTGGATGTGCCAATATCCATGTTTTGTATTTGATTTACATTTATTTCTTCTGCCAAAAATGTTAATTCCTGAGAGAAGCAGACCAATTGTTTTTAGGTATTTGTTATTTCTTATTCTTATATGATATATCCACATTTTAATACTGCTATATATGAAATTCAACTTAAAATGAACCGATTACTTGAACTGTCTCAATTACATTTGTATTTGTAAATGTTTGTTTTGCAAAAAAAAAAGTGTAATCTTAAAAACAATGATTTTCATATTTAATAAATATTTAAAAGAACGTTTGATCTGACTCATTTAAATATATATATATATATATATATATATATATATATATATATATATATATTGAGAGAATTTTTTTTTTTTTAGATTATGCCAATTGTGAAGCCTTTTATATTACTTGCAATGAATACATATTATACAAAGCTTCTTTTTTTTAAGCCAATTTAAAATATTGATTTATACCAAATTCAGAAAAGAGTTTGCATGAAATGCTGAAAATTAGTTTGAACTGAATGGTTTCTGAACATTAGGTTAATGTAAAATCTTTATTGTGAATGGTTACTTCAATTTTATTAAATTAATCCAATGTTTCACTTTTTACAGTGTAGTTGAAACCACATTCATGGGCGGTTTGATGTACAGAAAATGACCCACAAATAATAACAAAAGTAGATTTAGCAATCACTGCACAACACTTGGACACATGTTTGTAAGAGCACAACAGACAGTGACAACTTTGTCCAAGAAAACCACAGTCTCACCCTCACATGGCAGAGCCATATTTATGGGAATTTTAGAAGACAACATTTTGTACTTGTTGCGTACTTGTCCAATAACTCTCTCCACGTGGATTCTGAGATGTGCAATGGATCTTGTTTCCTCCACATCCTTTGCATCCAGTTGTTGACGGCCCTTTGTGAACGCTGGTATTTTGACTTCAGCACACATCAGTCCCACACTCTCCTTTATGTCAAAACCTCGATCTGCCAGTACCATGTCACCTGGAAGTAGTTTGTCTAGGAAACCACTTTCCTCTGTTATTCGTTTGTCACTTGTCCGCCCACCCCACCCTTTGGAGATGAATGAAATTACTCCCTGTGGAGTAATGCCGATGAGGTATTTCAGTGTATGTCTGTGTTTATAATTTGAAAATGTTTGTGCTCTTGCCTGTAGATTGGATGGTCTTTCTATAAAAATTTCAAAGCAGTCCACAATGGCAGCAACACGATTTCCAAATGTCTCTGCAAACTGGTGTGGCATACTGATGCGCAAACTCTCTCTGTCAGGCCAATGCACCAGTGGAGATAAGCGTGAGTAAAGTACATTTAATGTGTCTTGAAATGCAGCACTAACAGTCGCTCGGTGCACGCCAAATATATGGCTGATGTGCTGCATTGGCAGATCCAATCTCAGACGCATCAATGTGAGAAGGATCATTTGAAAAGGTGTCAACTTTCTTTTTCCCTGATGCAGAAATGGCATTATATGGCACAGCAAAACCTGAAAAATAGCATATGTTGGAAGTCCAGTGTAATATTTTACCTTGCCATCATCATCCTTCAAAAATTGCTCTGTCATTTTGCGCTCATCAAGTTCTCGCTTCAGATTCCTGTTTTCCTCGAGCAGACGGTTGATTTCAGCGTGTGTAGATTTGCAGTGCACACATTTCTCTGCACTCTGGTTATCAGGATTTTGTGCTGTGTCCTCTGCATCTTGTGCTACCTCCTCCACATCTTCCTCTGTGTCTTGTGCTACCTCCTCCACATCTTCCTCTGTAACGTTACCTTGTGCTACCTCCTCCACTTCAGATGGAACCGTGTCCTCCCCTTCCTCTCCTGGCTTCTCGCTAGTCCCCTGATGTTTGAGGTGTCTTCTTACTTGACGTGCAAACCTCTCTTTGTTTGTCACTTTCACTTCATTATGGCCCAGAAGCAAAGATGGTGCCCAGTCAGGATGAGTGTCCAGCATTTCAAATGCTGGTTGTCCTGTAAATACAGAAATGTTGTAAGTTTTTAGACAATTATGGACATCTTCATATACTTTCAACACACACACACACACACATATATATATATATATATATATATATATATATATATATATATATATATGAAGAGTTCAGATGCAAAAGCCTCTAAATGCCATCTGAAATTTTCTTATAGAATGATCATTTTTATCAAGCTTGTATATTTAAATTCAATAATTTCACTTAAATGGCAATGAAGATTACCTATTAATTGTCATTTAAGTGAAATTACTGAACTTAAATATACAAGCTTCTTAAAAATTATCATTCTATAAGAAAATTTCAGATGGCATTTAGAGGCTTTTGCATCTGAACTCTTCATATATATATATATATTTATATACATACAGTACACACACACACACACACACATAATGATGTTAGTTAGTAGACAACACTGGGCCAGAAGATAAACAAAAGCTAACTCATTAATCTAAAGTGATCTTCATAAAACTATTGACAGTGTGTGACTTCTTCAAATATAATTTTTTAATCAAATTCTTAAGACATTGTGACTGGAGTTGCAAATGGAACATTGTCTGTTGCTAGCCATAAATAATGCGTTCCTCTGGAATCCAACACACACCGACGTTTAAGTCTATGAGAGCAAAATGAAAATACTGTATTTAGGTCAAAGTTATAGCCAGAGAACTCACCCGAAGAAAAATGCCGAGAACACACTCTCGTTGATGCAGGTGTCACAGTCTTCGTCTGCACCTGTCTGTCTTAGTCATCTTCACTACACTACCCAGAATCCTCCTTGTCTCCACACCTGTACTCACTCCCTCATTATCCACCTCGTCATCATCATCTGTGTCACCTGTCTTCACCTCGTTAGTGTTCATTTGTCTCTGTATTTAGTTTGCTTCTGTTCATTCAGTCTTTGTCGGTCGTCGTCTATGTATGGTTGTATTAGTGTGAGTTTTGTTTGCCTGCCTGTACCTGTTTTGAGTTAGTTATCAGTAAATGTTTAAATTGGAGCCTTCTTGCCTCAGACTCTTCTTCAACCCGCACCACAACCCGTGACAGCAGGGATGTTGTGAAAAGTGTAGTTTTTCCTCCTGAGTGCGGCAACCCACGCGATCCGGCGTCTTCTCGTTAGCTCCTCGACCTGCTTCCCTTGTTGTTTCTTCCAAGAAGGAACGCTGAAAAAACCATAGACAGTAAAAGAAATGGACAGAGCCATCTCATTGGAACTCAGTTGAGACAGTTGAAGCCCATTTTTAGCGATTTTTGAGCACTTCCGTTCCTGACGCGCAGACTCAAACCGACTCAAACTAAGCTTGATGACGTGAGCAACCTGTCTGACAGACGTTAATCTTCTAGTAGCTGTGCCAAGAGGAATCTGAATCATTCCCTTCCGAAACTTGCAGAGCCAGAGATCGTGAGTATTAGCTGTCCATGAGCTCGCAGAAGGAGCAGCTTTACAACCCTCTATGGGCTTCTCCCTTGACTTTATGCCTCGACGTCCCCCCGATTGCGCGCGAGTTTCTACTTCTGTCTATACGGTAATTTCTGTACAGCGCGACAGAGAGTCGAGTGGTTATGACGCCATCGTTAGCCTATTTTTACTAAATCTGTTTCTACGGGGCCATAACGTAACATAGAAGGTAATGGAGCCTTTTATACATTGTCGTGTTTCTTTAGAAATAAATAATGGACAAATGGAGTCTTTAAACGCCTCAGATGTAAAGTTATTCGCTGCCAAAGTGACGCCAAAATGAATGGGAGTCAATGTAATGCTAACGCAAGTGAAGTTCTGCTACAAGATGGCGGCACCCGGCCGACTTCAACTTCCGGTCGATGGATTACCCCCTTGGAAAAAACGTACCCCGTTGACCAGTTTCCTCCCTGAACGGTCGTGTGACCTGCTATGGCAATCCCTTATCGAGCAGAACTGACCAACCATATCTAAAATAGTGATAGAAAATCTAAAAGCAGCCTCCAACACATGAATTTCACTACAGCGGAATGAGCGGAATAGGGCGCGATCCTGTAAATATGGCCGCGGACCCATAATGCAACACGGCGTGACGTCATCTCCGCATTCTCTATAGGCTTTATAAAAATGTTAATGACGGCGCTGACCGGCGCTGTGAACCTCACTAATAATATAAAACTCATTTTAACAGCACGGGTCTTCAATCTAAATAATTAAGTGAAAATAATAATCCAATCGCTAAAAAACACATTTCCAAATGCACATCATTCCATTAGGACAGACTAGAGAGATTAAATGCGTTCTTACCGGATTCAGTGCATCTTGAATTTATATGTTTTGTCTGATGGCAGCTTCGAGTAGGGGCTTATTCATTATGTGTCTAGACACATCTCCTTTTTTAGGGTCACCTGTAACTGGTTTTTACCATGTTTTTCTCCCATTCCTTATACGAACATGGCGCTTTTTCTTCTCGGGAGGCCAGATCCATTTTTCTGTTGCAGTTTTTTTTTTGTCTGTGTGTGGGGGTTTCTCAGTGTTTGTCCCTCTCTGACTAGAACCAATAATTACGGCTGCGCTGCGCATGTTCAGTGTTTTATTATTAACATTTTTTTATTGTAGAATTGTCATTTAAAGGACGATGAAATAAAATGATGCAGACAAAATTAAAATGCGGGACACTGCTTATGACTTGCGGGACGTGGGACAAAGCTTCAAATTTCGGGACTGACCAACGGGGAATGCATGAAAAGCTGACTTCTTTGTTTTAACGTGTTTCATAACGAGACACAACAGTGAAGTGCTGAGGCTGTCACCTCTGAAAGGCAAGTCGCCTCCCTTGAATTTAAAAAAAAGTTGTCGTCGGCATTACTTTATTTGGTAACATTATTATTGCTCTAACTGTTTGTATTTTAGCATGTCATTTTAATGCATAATTTTAGCGTATTTCACCTGTGTTTCTATGCGTTCTATTACTGCATTTATTTTGTGCAAGTGAGATGAGTAAAGATCATCTTAAATCATAAATCATATGCGTTCTATTACTGCATTTATTTTGTGCAAGTGAGATGAGTAAAAATCATCTTAAATCATAAATATTTCATAAATCATTATCTGTTTGTTTTTTTATAAGCAGCACATACAGTATTTGCTGTAAAATATACACAAACTTAGCTAGGCCTATATTAAATTGTTTGTGTTAACTAACGTTACAGTTAAAAATGTAAATTACTCGCAATTATTACGATTTTTTCGCCGTCGTTTTTATCTATAAAGATAATTGATGCAAAGAAAGCATGTAAGGAAAATATGTGTTGATAATATTGATCGAGCAACTGATGTAAGTAAGTGAAAATATATGGGCAGAAATGAGAAAATGGTAGGCCTATTTATGGAGATAAATAAGACAGGGCAAACGTGTGAATGTTCAGGCGGTATTGTATGCAAACAAATATAATCGTAGTTGTAACACAATGTTTACAGAAGGCATAATTCTCATTGCGTATGCAGCATGAGACCAAGACAATCTTCTGTTCGTGCATGAACAGTTGTATTTCATTCATTAATCTGACTTTGCATCCGTGCATTTAATCGCCATTTGCTCATGTGATAGTAATATATATCTTAGTAGTATTTGAAATGATATAATTGATTCTATAAACAACTATAAGAGATCATTTTCGGCTTTCTCCGGCTCCCTGCACCGGGCGTAAAGCGAAACCGGAAGTGTCTAACCGCACACTCGCTGATCAAAAATCCAAAATGGCGGCCACGTGCAACTAGCCTATTGACCCTACCGGAACCAGTTCATCCTACTACCAGATCTGGGCGGAGAGTGCGATTTAAAGGGGCCATACATGAAAATAAATGTAGCAAGTGGAAACACATATTTGACCCGTTACACTTGCCTTAAATGGTGTCTTAACCTTCTATGGCAGGCCTACGTAATATGAAATGAGAAAAAATATTGTGGTGTTTTTCCTGATTCAAAATAGAGACTAAGTAATAAACAATTACTTCACGTTTTCATTAAATTTTTTAAAAGTTTGTTGCCACAAAAAGCTTGTACCACAACACAATATGAAACAAACAAACAAAAAAATTCTTTAACCAGACACTTGAACAAACACTTATCTAGTTTTTAATGTATTACAAATTCCATATGTTATAAAAAAAGTCTCATTTCATATCCAGCTGTTCTCAGGCAGCATTATACCACAGTGTAACACAAGTATTACCAAACCATCAAATCAAGTTATATCCATCTTCATCCTCATCTTCACTCTCTCCCTGCTGGATTCACTATAACCTCATCTTAGTATGTGACCTGTGATTGTTGTAACGCACTTCTCATCGGGATCCCCAATAAGAGTCTGCAAAAACTACAGTATGTTCAGAACAGTGCTGCAAAGATCCTGATGAGAGTGCGACCACATCACACCCATTCTCCACTCGCTTCACTGGCTTCCCATCTCTCAGAATAAAAAAAAAAAAAAAAAAAGTACAAAACGGTACCTTTAAGGAACAAAAGCTTGTCACTGGGGTGGGTACATTATTGTACCTTAAGTCAGAGGAGCAAATTTGTACCTTACTTGTTTGTACCTTCTAAGGGCCAATACTGTACCTTTGAGGATCAATTATTGTACCTTTGTCTAAGGCAGCGGTTCTCAAAGTGTGGGGCGCGCCCCACTGGTGGGGAATAGAGACGTGACAGGTGGGGCGCGCCAAACGGGAGGAAATTTTCCTTTTTATGCCTTTATATCTTTATCCAGACATCCCAAATGTTCCGGGAGTCTCCCGCATATTGATAGCGGCTCCTTGACGCCCGCAAATGAGATCCAATCTCCCGGAATCTGGAGCAAGACCGCGCACTAGAGTAGAGAGTGACTGAGCGCGCGCGCGCGTGTGTGTGTGACTATTAATGCAGCGCGTGTGAGAGCAAACCGTCCTTATAGCTGTGTGTTGCCGCTTATTAGACCGGTTCACCCCCGGGGGCGACAACAAGTAACAGGAATTCCCCACCCCCAAAATAATGATTGACGTGACGTGACGTCGGCATATTAATTGTAGCGGAACAAACTTTTGCGCCCATAGATATGTAGCCTATGTTTCGCGCCGATGGCCAGGCGCGTTGGAAGCTGTTTCATGCGTAAGTGGGGGCTGAGGGCTGGGTTGGAAAATATGTGACGTCATTATGTTGTGGCTTACGACAAGACATGAAATTTCTCTGAACATTGAACATGATTTGAGAGTGGCAGTATCAAGCCTGCAACCCTGCTTTGAGAAATTGTGCAATGCAAAACAGGCTCATTGCAGTCACTAATGCAGGGATAAATAGACCTGTCTTGCCAAATGGATTTCTCTTCTTTTCTTTTTTTAACAGATTGCAAAGTGGCACTTTTATTTCTTTTCTATTTTTGAGGCACTTTTATTTTCTCTATTTTTGAATTTCATGCAAGTTATGACACAGATGCACTTTATTCTCTTTATTTTTGAACTTGCTGTTATTTGATGTAGATAGTTAGTTTGTATTTAGATACAACGTGTTACTATACTGATACTACTTGTTACTTCAATAAATTGGAACATTTTAAGCTTGTTACGTATTTCATTAGCATTGTGTCGGGTAGAGGCCTGCATTTCAGCCCGAGCCCGACGGGCCCCGACTTATTTATGCTCCTAGGGCCGGGCTTCGGGCCAATTTTCACGTCATAGTTCACACGCGGGCCGGGCCTCGGGCCTGTTTTAGGCT